ATCTCCTATGAATTAAAAGTAATGGTGAAAGATCAAATAAGCTATTTTTAGCATAAAAGTCACATTCAATTTCACAAAGTCATTGTCCTTGATATCATTGGAAAGAGCTTAATTAGTGAAGTATGATACTAAATATGAAGTCTCTATCTTTCATGATTCAAAAGTTATGGCGAAGGTGAAAGTTTGCAGACAAACAGATAGACAGGACAAAACAATATGCACCCCGGATCTATCTATCTAGTCTCATTTGATTCGATACGCAAGAGCATGCTCTATGTGTGAACAATTTCTAAAACGATATAAATTATTGACAAGCATACGGTGACGTCTCTATATGAGTGAAAAATCCTTTGAGTGAAAAATCCTCGAATGGGACATTTAACAATATGCAATCCATCAAAGGTCAAAGTTACAATGTTGTTTTTTTGTATTCGCATGAATAAGCCTTTTCATTTGACAAAAGCATATGAGTTTGTTGCAATGCACGGATTTCATATTCACTACACAATTAAAAAGATCCCTATAGATTGAAGGCCACTTTTCCAAAAGTCAAGGTCAAAAGGTAAACATTGATATGAGCACCGGTATATCTAGCTTTCAAGTAATCATGGTAATGTTCTGTGATTAATAAAATAATTTGCTAGGGTTCTCAACCTAGTTATACCCTCGGCAAACGAGGTTTAGGGGGTATATAGGAATCAGCTTGTCCGTCTGTCCGTCCGTCCGTCTGACTGTCTATCCGTCTGTCTTTGCAAACGTGTCCGATCTATACCTTTCTTACGTAGAAACATTAGAATCTACTACTTCACACAAAGATTGTTAATGACCTAAGAGTGTGTCATGACCTTGACCTAAAAAATGTTTTAGTATTTCTCTCTTCTCTTATAGATCCATAAATATTCATGATTTGCCACCTCTGAAAAACCTAGCGAGGGTATTTCGTCCCCTTTGGACAGTTCTAGCTTAAGTACAAGATTTATTCATTCCAAAAAAAACTTAGCTTCTGTACTAGTAACAAGTTACACGTATAAACTTTGATCACAGAATTCTACCACATTTTGGCTACTATTACCAGCCTGAAAAATTATCAGCATTATCTTTTAAGAAAATTGCATTGTTAAATATTAAATATTTTCTGGTACTTTGGCATGACTTGATATTGGATTATAAAAGTTCTATCAATTTTTTTCATTTCAAACTCAAAGAGACAGATAAAAAACTTTTAAGATATATGAGGATTTGAGATATTAAGGGTAAAATACTCAAATAATAATAATCTGAGACTTCCAAATCAGTTTTACATATTCATGGCTTTCGAGATATCAGTATTTGAGACACCGAAATTCAACTGTATAACGATGTGAACCAATAACTCAGATGTTAAGTGTTCTCTTGTAGGCTTATAGCAACAAATAATAAATCTAAAATGAAAGAGACACTCCTGCCCGTCTTCAAAGATCCTCTGGATAAATGCTTGAAAGTGAACATAGAAAAAAAAACATCAACTCGGGACTCTAAAAGTTGATATTTATATTTTGTATAAGTATGTAAAAGAAGGGCAGATTTAAAAAAATCATCTGGAATTCAATACTTTCAGATCACTTATTTTTGTAAAATAAATAAATAAATAAACCTATTAAAATTAGTGATTTCACGTGATTTTGAAAAGATAGACAATTTTAACCATTTCACAACTTTTTTAAAATGTTCTATTTCTTTTCTCTTTTTTTTCATTTTTTCTTTCCTATCTGATATCCATGTTTCTTTTTCAGGTTGTATGATTGATCTGCAGAAGTTCATTTGTGAATTTAAGAAGCAAATGAGAGACCAAGCTCTTTCTCTCAGAACTGTATATGAAGAGAAACTGTCTATTTGATGTCTTTATGTGTCACTGCTCCAGAATGGGAGATCTAAATGTCAGCTTTATTTGTCATCATGCCTGCTGGACTGGTGAGGGGTACGACCCCCCAACCCCAAAGACTCTGCCAAATTGTGATATTGGTGACTTTTTATATGTCAAATTTTTAAACAATGTTCAAAAAGTGTATGTAAGAATGAAAATGTCATGATTTTTATCATACAACTATTTTATTGTCAATCATAGCGCTTTAATTATGTCGCCCCGAACGAAGTCGGGCGACATATTGCGATTGTACGCATGTTTTGGTTCTCCAGGCTGTTTCTCGGAGATGGCTGGGACAATCTTCCTGAAACTTTTCTCAAAGGAGGATCACTGGTTGTTGTTGTGTTGTGTGCCCATTCAGTTTTAAAATGGCTACCGTTGCCATGGAAACCCAGGGTTCTCCACATTTAAAAAATTAACCATGGAGGAACTGCGCGAAGGCAAAATGTGGCTGAGAAAATGAATGCTTGTTAGACTTCCTAATCTTCATTAATCAATTATTGGTTTTACAATTTTTAAACTTAACCACTGCAACACAAAACAATGGAATAACTAGTTAAAAAAAAATAATTGAATTGAAATGGATTTATCCTGTATCTTACTTCACAAATGTGCCAAACGGTTCACAGAAAATATTCAACAATATCTACATTTTTCCTACCGGTGTCGAACGAAATCTGAAAATTTAGTTTGAACCGAGTTACCCCTGATTTTCAAGATGGCGAGTGGCGCTCCTTTACTCTTTTTATATACAGTAAATATGACATTTTTATAACGTGCTAATTTCAGCGAATTTTTATTTTTATTTTGATGAGAGTATTCAGACACACCTAGAAAAACACATCATACACAAAATAAGTACCATCCTGTAACCAAAGCGCCTATAGTTTTGTTTCAAACCTGCGAAAAGCGTCGATTTTTGTTGGCGAGTTTTCTCTCTGGTCCCTTGAACATTCTTCATGAAATTTTATTGAGGTAATGATAAGTATCTGTAATTGTGCTCATTGGATAAAAAAATTGCAAATTGTCAATAGTTTCCATATAAACAGGGGACAAGTGGATTTTTGAATCAAAGTACTGAAAGTAATGATACGAGTTGAAAGTTGTCCAGGCTTAGCTAATGGGTATTGTTTTAGTGATGAAAAAAATGAAAGTCTTGTCCAGTTCGGGGCGACATAAGCTATTGCTTGCAATAACAGACTTTCTGGTATTCATTTTGTTTTTGTTATTGGTTACTAATAGTTCGGCCTCTTACGTAGAACTTTAAATTATTTTTGTGTTACCTCTATTTTTTTTGTTTTATATTCAATACCAATAATGTCTATTTCTGCAAATTGGAATTTTTAGTTTAAACATTCTTGAAGCATTATTATATAAATCAAATATTTAAATGGTAAAAAAAATAATGTAATTATGGATAATAATCAAACATTTGAATGGTAAATAAATAAATGTAATAATGCTTGTATTTTTACCATGCTAGTTAAAAATTCCAGTCAGAATTTTAGGATATACCGTAAATCTGGAAATTTTTACGTCGATTTATTTTTGCGAATTTGGGTCAAAAAGCTGTTGATTAATTTTTACGCTTCAATTTTTTGCGAATTGTCACTGGTGCTTAAAAAAATAACTGAAGATTTTAAGATCAGGTTATGTTTCAAATAATATGCCCAGTTTATTCACAACGTGGCAACATATTACAAAATCGTTCCGAAACAATTTTTATAAAAATGCAAAAGGATTTGCACTGAAAATAATATTTAAATCAATTATAACAAACATTTTAGAGGTTGTTTATGCCTTTTGACTAAAAGTTTATTCCAAATGAAGAATAAATATATTATTTTCTCAACGTTTCTTTTTTTCTCACCTAAAATTGACACACCACGTTTAGATTTGGAACTTTCTAGTAAACACACTGAGTTTGAGTTATCGCCCGTGTTGATACTCGGTTAGATAAAATGACAGTTTTCTCTTTATTGGCAAATTAATTGATGAAAATAATTAAAAAGGGGCAAACTGCCTCAGTGCTTGTCAAATCATCGGACAATATAGCATATAACATGTATAATGAGGGCAATTTACACGCACGGACAATTGACTTGTAGTTATATAGTAGACTAGTGTAAACAGGTTTCTTTTAAAAATGACCAGTGCTTACCGACGCACTGAGTTAAAAAAAAGACACGAGTCCTCTGAAAAAATATTCTTCACATGTTGATTTATTTTTAAGAAAAATATTTTTGCGAAAGCAGTGCACGCGCAAATTTGCTAAAAATTTATCTACAGTAAAAATTTCCAGATTTACGGTATTACAATGATGTAAGTTATTGTCCAGTGGATAACAATTATGTTGTGCTTGACAGCTCTTGGTCTGTTCTGGTTGTGAATATTATAAAAGGTCATTCTATGCATTGAATTTATTTTAATTGTCTAATATATGACACACAACACAAATAGAAAGTAAAGAAGTAATATGAACGATTGTAGATTTAGAAAATACAAGATCTGGAATGTCAAAATTAAATATTTTATAACAATTAAACAATAATTTCATATATGTGAAGATTTTATTAAATATATGTACAAATATTGTAATAATACCATGTATTATGAAATGCTGAAATGAAATAACAGATCTTGATCTTACTTAATAGTTCAAACTTTGTATATGTATTATATTATAGAATACAATATTTGACAATTTACTTATTTTGTTGGTTCCATCAATGTAGATGATATTTATGAGCTGAAATCAACCAAGGAAAAAACCATTTAATCTTATACCTGGTATAAACTTGACTCACAAACAACATGCATTACAAATGTTCCTTTTATATACATGTACATGTAAACATAATTCGTTGTACAGAATTAGATGGCTTACAAAAGTTTCTAAAAGTGATTTTCATATTTCTTTTTCTTCTTTTTATTTATTTAGTTTTTATTTGAGATAAAAAAAAATTAATGTAAAAACCCAACTTTCATTTCACAAAGAAAATTGTGACAGTTGCTACTTATCATTGTCAAAAAAGTTTTAAATCGCTGAAATTTTACCAAAAATCTGATTATCAAATTTAATTTCATGTAAAAATGTACTACATGTATCAATTAAATGTTACACTCTATGGATTAGGTCCATGATTTGCTGTATCCTCATTAATGTAGCGGTTTGCATTTCATTGAATGTTTCTTGTGTTAAGGATTGCTGGTAGGAATACAGAGCAGCCTGGTAATTCCCTGTTATCTGTTGACAGATCCCTAAGATCTCCCATGCTATGTCTTTTCCATCTCCAAGTATGTCTGTCTCCTGATCATGGTGTACAAGATCGTGTAGATCATGTAGAGTTCTATGTGTTCTCACCGGGTCTACATGTCTGTAACAGAAGATTTCCAACATATGTAAGAAAACATAGAGAGGAATATATAATCCACGGATTCTACCCTGTAACGCAGACTGTTGTTCTGGCATTAATTCATTAATGTAACAAAGTTCATTTCCCAGCAAAATATCGCATGCTACAGCCTTTCTCATTTTTGAAGACAGGGATAGACTCCCTACATCCTCGATATATCTCGTTGCATTTACACGTCCCCCATACACTACACATGACTGTACTAACTTGGCTTTTGTAGCTCCTATTACCGTTAAAGCTTCCAAGTACCTCAATGTCTTGTAATAATACATGGCAATGAACAACATGTCGGAAAGGAATCCAAACCTGGCCGCTAATTTCAGCATGTAAAGTGATGTTTTGTCAGTTAAATATATCATTTTATTCCTACATGTGCTGTTATCCACTCCCAGTAGTAAGGAATCTGTTAAATCGTTAAGTAAAATAAAAGCTGTGATCTGGAGTATGGAGGATGTACGCTTCTGTAAAAGAAGTTTCTGATATTGTGTCAGAGGTAAAATGATCAAACTTTCTACAGCGTTCAGAAACCTCATACAGGGGTTAAATTTTTTTGTTGGTATAATATTGCGATATATCTCATAGAATAGATTTAGTTCAAATTTCACCTCATAAATCGATGTAAGTTCATGTGGACACACAGATTGCCTAGGGTTTTGAAGGACACTTATAACATGTGATCTGATGGATGGACTGTAAAGCAGGCATGCTAAACCCTTCTCATATAATCCATGAAGTCTAATGAACAATTCTCTTTGTGCTTTACCGTGAATATTACTCAAAAACATGTTGTTTTCTGGAATAAAAAAATTTGGACAGATGCCTTTATACACCCATTTTAAGATAAGTTTAAAACAGATCCAGAAACACTGCAGGAGGTTTTGTGGACACCAATAAGGCATTAGATTTAGTTGAATCACCCAAAAAACAGCAGTCTTCATGTGATAAGAACACAGTAATTTATTTTCTTCACTTAGTCCACTGTTAATGCATTCTTTTAAGAACAACTTCAGCAGACCGTACGTTAGGAATTGGCAATGATTCATAGAGGAAACTAGACATTGCTCTGCCAAAGAGAAAGAAATTCTCCATTCTTTGTCAGCGTGATTTCCTAGTTTGTGCCCTACTGCTACAAAATGGCATCCGTTTCTGACTATTTCATCAATGATCGGAGCTAGCGGCCATGAGTGACATCTGTTTCTCCATTGGAAGGCGGGAGGGGGCCAAATATCACACGCAAAGCATAGAGCTATGTCATATTCTAATGTTCCGATAGCACCGCTACGACATGGACCATGTTCTTTAGAATCAGGCATAACAGTAGCAAATGTTTGACGTCTGAACTCAGAACTTGATATATAAAGTCTGTTATTGATTCTTATACATGCATTCTGTAAACGTTCCCAGTGAGTTTCTGTCAATAATTCAAGTAAAGCAAATCCAGGTGGACTTTTGGAACAATCACATAGAATCAGTGTTTTTCTGTTTAATTCATAATTCTGAGCTTGATCCAGATCCCAGATTATATTGTGGTCAGTAGGCCATAACATTATGTCTAAATCTGAGTCCTTCATCCTGAATCCCTCCCTATAACTGCCACTAGTCATCGCTGTCATTTTCTTTTTACTACTCACAAACATCTCTTGTTTTCTCAGCATCTCTTCCATATCTATTAGTTCTCTCCTCATGGTCACTTCATGTGAGAGCCCAACTATGTGACATAGTCCCACAAACACAGACTCTGATAGATGCTGAATACCCAAATCACTGTAATATGCATTTGTATAACTTAATGTATGCAGTTAAAGCTAGTCGAACCTATTAGAACCACCGGATCAAGGATTCAAAATAATATTTTGAGAGAGTGTAATATTGAGATGATAGGTAATGTCTTTAAAGCCTAAATATACGGATTAAAATGTTAGTTATCATTTTTAAAGTCCGACACCTCAAAAACTACATCCTAGTGTGTAGAAGGATTATTAGAAGTATGTGTTACAGATTTTATTCATAGATGAAAATATCAATCGAAATTTTACTTGCATCCAACCGTAGGAAGTCATTTCATCTGCCGTTCTAGCTGTATATAAAGAGGGAGTTTCTATAATAAGAAGAGAAAATTCGATCTTAGAGTAATTCTTCCGTATGTTTAAAAATATATTGTACATAAAGCAACGTCTACAATAGTTGTATCTGAAATTTAGTTGTATTGCGTATTTATGTTGATCTGAAATCCATTGAAAATAGTACTCATGTTTAAAAGGTGAATAGACAATATGATGATCATAGAAAATTGAAATATGATTACAAGAGTTTTCCTTTTATAATGGCACTATGGCAGATACCTTATTGTAAATTTATAGTTCCTCGTCGTTATTATTATAGTAGTTTTGTTTTTCCATATGAGAAAAGGTTTGGTACCCAGAGTGAAACAAAGTTTTTTTTTTTACATTTGAGTATTAATTAAAACCCGATAACATATTTGTTTAAGGAGTAAGAAATTTGAATCAAATGTAAAAAAAAGAAAAAGAAATCTTCAGTGTTTTTTATTTCCTTCATTTCAACATCACACTCTTTGTCATAATAATATTTCAAATGGATTTTCCATTTTTTATCAGATCAATATTTGATTGTACTGATTGATCTATTCATTCCTTTGATTTTATTTATTCTTTTATAAATTGGATTAAAAATTTTACATTTAATAAAGAAATGGCATATTAAACAATACCATTTTTGTTTTGTTTTTTACTGAAATATGTTTACAAGTATGGGTATACCTAACAAAAGAAATGTTAAAATTAAAAAAAAAAAGATTTTGAGCAAACAAATTGTTCATACTATAATATTTACATCCACTGAATATTTTCTCCTTTATTTCTTAAGAAAACCCATTGCTTTAATCACTGCATGAACTACAGTGGCTGTTCCATCAATGAAACGTATAGGGACGTTTGCATTATTAATAAATAAAATCTTATCAATCCTGCTTTAAATGATTAAAACAGATATAAATATAAACAATAAATTGTCTTTCTATGTTTGTTATTACTGGAATTAACGGTCGCAGCTATTGCAGAAAAAATTTACATAACCCGCTTACGCGGGTTATGTATTTTTTCTGCAACAGCTGCTTCCGTTAATTCCAGTAATAACAAACAAAGAAAGCATTTTATTGTTTAAATATATTTAATTTTATAGAAGGCAATGTTTGAAAAATCAAATTGTCAAATTCTTCATTTGGCATCATGTTGTGGGGGATGTGTGTTGGAAACAAGTTTGTAAGGTATGTGTGTTGGACAACATATCTGTTAGACATCATGTTTTGGGGGATGTGTGTTCGACAATATGTTGTTGTGGCATGTCTGATAGACAGCATGCTTTGTGGGATGAGTGTTGTAGAACATTTGGGGGGGATGTGTATTTTGTGGTGGATCTGTAGAAGACAGCTTAACTTGTTATGGGGGATGTACATGTATGTTAGACAATATGTTTTTAGGAATATTTGTTGTATGTAAATTAAAACTACAAATATTTTTTACCTTTTTCGGAAGTTAAAATTACGTTTATTGACATTTTCTCAGCATAAGAACTGATCATTTTGCAACAAAAGTGGCCAGGGGTAGGAAAATTACCATGATAAGCAATGAACTTATCTCGCCAAACAAAGAAAGATCTTATTATCAATGAAATTTTAGTGGTGTTTTAAAATCATAATCCCAATATTGTGAATTATTTGGATAGTTATTTGGTGAGGGGGGAATTATGGGTAAGTAAAAATACATCTGAGCCCAACATCATTCAGAATTTCAATTATCGGGCTGTGTTTAAGATTGTTGTGGCTATTTAGTACTAGATGAGGGGGCTCTAACAAATTTTTTTCTGTATGTTAATTAACAATATACATTACAATAAATAAGTTTCACTGAAACAAAGTATCTTCTTTTTAAGACCAGTAGGTGGGACTACTAAATCACTTTGACATTCAAAATATCTCTTAAAAAGCCTAAATATACTGATTGAAAAATCTGAAGAACTACACCCAAGAGGATTGAAGAATTACAAGTAGTATGTATAAAAGATCTTATTCATAGACAGAAAAGAAAATCTAAATTTTACCTACATCCAACTGTAGGAAGTCATTTCATCTGCCATTCTAGCTGTATATAAAGAGGAAGGATCTATGACTAGAAAAGGAAACTCGATTTCAGAGTAGTTCTTCCGTATGTTTCAAAAAAATTGTGTAAGTAAAGCAACGTCTACAACAGTTGTATCTGAAATTATGTTGCATTGCATATTGATGTTGATCAGAATTTCATTGAAAATAGCACTCATGTTTAAAAGGTAGATAGACAATATGATGATCAATATGAAGAATAAATTAGATGATTACGAGAGTCTTCCTTTCATAGTGACCCTAAACAGATACCTTATTGTAAATTCATAGTTCCTCGTCGTTACTATAACAGTAGTTTTTTTTTCACACGACAAAAGGTTTGGTACCCAGAGTGAAATATAACTCGATTATTCATTAAAAATTCTATAACATACTATTTTAGGAAGTGGAAATTTTTTTATCAAATGTAAAAAAGAATAAGAAATTTCAGTATTCTTTTTTATTCCATCAGTTCATCATCACGCTCATGTCTTTGATTGACAAACAAAGTTTGCCATAATAAAATTTCAAATGGATTTTTCTTTTTATCCGATTGATATTTGGTTAAATGATTGGTTTATTCATTCCTTTGATTTTATTTGTTCTTTTTCAATTTGGATTAAAAGAAATGGACCTACTGAGTAAACTGTGCATGGCTAAATTTGACATTTAACAAAGAAATGTCATATCAAACATTATTATGCTACCTGTCAGTTTGTCTCTATATAACCCATACCCTACTATTCTCGCATAGTGGTCTAAGGATTTATATAGCGTAAGCATACTATGCCGAAATAATGCACGGCTTTATTTACTGAATAAAATTCTTCAATGCACATGCCGGGGATCGAACTCACAACCATGAGGTTGTCAGTCCGATGCCTTATCGATTACGCCACAAAGACGATCACTGATTGATAGAATTTTATTAAATATATAAACTTAATTTATACAATTGACACAAGAAGGAGAAAATAGACAAATGTTATTTGAAAACAGTAATATTATTCTAAGAAACCTTAGATTAATGTGTACAACAAAGTTTCAAACTAATTACATACAGATCGTTAGATGAACTGATTTTATAGGGTCATTAAAACGCTTTTTTATATGACGCTTGATTGAAGGATGTAAAAGAAAATTATCAATGAGAAACGACGTCTGCAAACAAATAAGTCTTACTTACAAACAGAAAATAAAGATGAGTTGCTTTGCGACAGAAAATCCCGACTTATTTAGAGAAAATACTAGTAATCAAAATAACTAAGCATGCAACCAATTTTAGCATGAAGATTTTGAATGAGTTCTTGCAAGTGCGCTGTGTTAGCACCAAAGTCAAATGGATTGCCGCATAAATAATTACAACATTCAGCATAATAATAACAATAGTGTTGCATTATGCATGTACTATGCCTAAATAGTAGGCAGGGTTTGACACATAGTGCACTCGCCTCCGGCTCGTGCACCATGTGTCAAACCCTGCCTACTATTTAGGCATAGTACATGCATAATGCAACACTATTATATAAATAGCATTTTGTCGTCTATTCACTGAAATATGTGTACAAATATGAGTATACCCTAACAAAACCATGTTAAGGAAATGTAAAAAAAAAAAACAGATTTTGAGCAAAATAAATAGTTCATACCGGTTACCCTATGTATGATACTGCACATGTACATAATTTGGCGTATCAAATTTTATCGCAATCAATGGATATGGAGTTGTTGGCTTTTAATCATGAATTAGCGCTACACATGTTCGTGCCGTATACTGTATTATATTTATAAATAAATTCCAAGCGGTATTCATAAATTAGCGTGTTGGATAGCATTTTGTGAAGGACGTGTGTTGAAAAGCATGTTGTTGTGAATGGGGGGAGGGGGAACAGCATGTTGTGTGGTATATGTTTTCAACAGCATATTTTTGGGGATGTTTGTTGAACAGGATGTTGGGGTTGATGTTTGAAGGCATGTTAAGGGTAGGGATTAAGCAGTATGTATGGGGTGAGGGACAGCATGTTGTGGCGAATGTGTGTTGGACAGCATGTTGTGGGGAATGTGTGTAAGATAGTATGTTGAGCAGTAAGTGTGTTCGACTTTATTATTAGGTGGATGTGAATTGGACAGCATTTTGTGTTGGATGTGGGTTGGACAGCATGTTTATGTGTAATGTTTGTTGGACAGCATGTTTATGTGTAATGTTTGTTGGGAATCATGTTTATGTGTAATGTTTGTTGGACAGCATGTTTATGTGTAATGTTTGTTGGAAAGCATATTTATGTGTAATGTTTGTTGGAAAGCATGTTTATGTGTAATGTTTGTTGGAAAGCATGTTTATGTGTAATGTTTGTTGGAAAGCATGTTTATGTGTAATGTTTGTTTGAAAGCATGTTTATGTGTAATGTTTGTTGGAAAGCATGTTTATGTGTCATGTTTGTTGGAAAGCATGCTTATGTGTAATGTTTGTTGGAAAGCATGTTTATGTGTAATGTTTGTTGGACAGCATGTTTATGTGTAATGTTTGTTGGA